CCTTCTCTGAGTAGCCAGGAACGTACTCCTCACCGAAGACATCGAGGAAGGTGTTGAAGGTAGTCTCGGGGTCCTTGACAGCGAAGCGGGTGAAGGTGTCGTTGGTGCCACGGAAAAGGGTGCTGTTGGTGAAGTTGCCCTGGACACTGTCGTAGAACTCATTGGGGATGAGGGGAGACCGCGGCTGGGGGAACTCGAAGCCAATGGACTTGACGATCCACTGGGTGTCGATGTTCTTGAAGTCGGAAACACCGATGATGGTCTGTAGAGAGATACCATCGTAGAGCCTCTCAAGACGGGCGGCGTTCCAGTTGACACCGTCAGGGTGGTTCTTGACGAAGTCCACAGCACCGACACCGCTGTCGATCTCGAAGCGGTACTTGTGGCTGTTGTAGGGAGAGTTGTCACGCTCTGAGAACCCAAGTTAGAAAACAAATTTCCGAGAAATTGAAAAAGAGGTCACTTACGGTCCCAACCAAGGTCGTGTAGGAGAGAGCCGACGGCGTGGAGCTCAAGGTCGACCTGGGACTTGAGGGTGGCGTTGTTGTTGAGCGCAGCAGCGCCAAGGAGCCATGTTCGGACAACGTGGTTGTAGAGGTAGGGCTGGAGAGGAATGAACTCCTTGACCAGGTTGTGGGCGTCCCTCACGATCTGGGTGTCGACAACCTCGACACCAGCGATCTTAGTGGTGGGGAGGCACGCTCCCTTCTTGTTGGAGGGAGCGGCCATTGTGGCGCTGGCCACGGCCAGTGTAGAAACGACTCCAGCGGCGAACCTCATTTTGAACAATTAGAACTACAACACCGAGCAAGGAATTGTCAGGAGAAGCGAATAGATAAGTAGGTAAATGAGCGAATGTGGTGAGAGGGGTGGAGAGTAGGAAGGAGGATTGTAGTATGCATGAGGCGTTGGATAGCTTTATATATTCAACTCGCCTTGCAGCTCAGCTCAGTCTCTTCCTCCGCAAGCCCATTACCCATGATCAACTGCCCAGCCTTGGGATCCTGCATTATGACTACAGAAAGGGTATTAGTACAGGGTTAGGGCGCATTTCAACCAAAATAGAACCTATAGCGTTTCTTGTGGATGAGGCTGACTGTCTACTGTGCCATCGATGCCCCGGAGAACGTGGAGGTGCCGAACAGATTCTTAGTGTCCCTGGAGAAATCAAGCTGACTATGATCAACTGCTTTGGCTAGTATTAGCCAATGTCGGAGAGTTCCATATATCCCTATCCTGGTTTGGAGTTGAGACGTCTGCCATCCGCATGTACACTACCAGTAGTTGGGGACTTAGTGTCGGCCTAGTTTGCTCGTTGGTTTATAGTGTTGCTGCTTTGATCAAGTAGCCTACATAGCACATAATAGCTGAGGTGATCAGATAGTGTTGCTTTTTTTGAACCTTAGTATACTCTGCTGCTCTGCACATTCAAGAATTCCACGACGTAGTATACTACAGTTCACATTACATCTACTCGTATACAGGTACAATACATAGCAAACAATGCTCCATATCTCAATCATGACCGGGGCCCCTGGATGTGTAGGCTACTACCGAGATATGACATAAGACGCCAAGACCTAAGGCCAAAATGAAGTTAGACTAACTAATAAAATTTCAAGGTTTGTGGTTTAAGTAAACTCCAAGCACAGGTGATTACCAGGCGCTCAGCTAGTGTAAGTGAGGTCGAGATTTGTCAACCGTAGGAGAGTATAGCGATTAAAGCTTGGGAGGCAATTAGTTATTAGAAGTGTAACTACTAATACTCAAGTGCCACCACAATAAACGTCCAAGCTGCTAGTGTAGGCATTGTATTGGCATAATTTTCCAAACTCATGAAAAGGCGCCCCTTTTCTGTAGGATTTCTATGGTGCACTTCTAGTGCATAAGCATAATTTTAAAATGAGCAACTCATCCACACGGCAGGGGTGCAGTGGAGTTTCGAACTTGGAAATGCCGATCGGTGCTTGGGTAAGAAGATAGAAATTCCTTCTGCATACAAGGCACCAACCTAAGTACCTGCTTCGCCTGCCAGTCTAACGCCGTTACAGATGAGGTTGCGCACTTCTAATATTAGTCATCCTGATCAGAACTCGGGGCAATGCGCTACCTTTCCACATTGTTACCCGATTATTATCCCCATAATTGACTCCTAAGTGATTATTCATTGTGTCCATATGAAAAGTGAGTATATAGGTATTCAGCTTCAGTATGGCTCGAATACACTGACCCTGCATGTTCCCCAAAATCTTACCACTTACATCGTAGTGTACCTAGCCCGGATAGATCGACCAGTCTTGTCCATGCCATGAGTAGCAGACAAGTAATCCAAACCAGACGATGGAACGACCGTGATTAGGTAGCGTGGGTATGTGGATATAGCCCGGACCTCAAGACTGTCGTGATGGTCTTCGCGCCGCCCAAAAGGGAAGTCCCGTTCTAATTTTTAGTCATCCTCATTCGATTTGACATATGATAGCCTTCGCCGGCAGTAGTGTACTTCTATAAGACTGGTTAGCGTCCATGGCGTGTTGTCCATACTATTGGATGTCTTAAGAATGAATGCTGCTCGGATTCTTTGAACACGTTCTTGGGACTCGCCGCCAAGAGCCAAGGCAATGAGAGCTGACATTGGACAGTCAGCGACTCGGAAGCGCGTCGATGAACTGGAAATCTCGCACCGAGCTCTCTGTCTATTCGTCGGGTTTGATCTTTCGCATCACGTCGAGTACTGTAATCCCACCACTCGTGACCTTTCTACCCTGCAACTTCTTCTACTAGTCCGCCCCTTGCTAGCATAACTTGGACGTCGACTACGCCTCGGCAAACTGGGATAGTTATCGTATTGCCATATACCAAGTGGCTGTATTGGTATTGTTGTCTCCCTTGATATCTAGGCCAAGTCTCGCTGGTGGATAGTGTATAGGGGATAGGGGCGGTAGTAATGTGGCTACTGCTAACCAAGCAGTTGTCGATTGTTTTAGCTGTCCTTGATATATTGGCCTTCGAGACCATGCATTATGCAATTGCGCCTTTCATCTTCGTCATTTCCATTTGGGTTATCGGCTAAAGCATCGTCTTGTTCTGGTTTAATTAACTGGACTATTTTCCTAAAGAGGATCATAGCGATCAACCATCACTCTCAATCTTGTCGTTCGCGGAGCACTCTTAGATCTTCGGATCTGGGGTATTGATCCCCCCTTAGGACCTGGTCTTCGGTGACTCTGTCCTCACACTGTTGGGCGTGGTCCCTTAATAAACCATGATACGGTATAACCTATAGCTTCAGCAGTCCTGTTAAAATTTGTCAGATACCAATTCCCTACGCGACCCAGACCCCTTCAATGGCGACACTAAGGACATCAAGAAACGCCAGACGGAATTCCGTTCCTGGAAAGCCGGCGGAGGGGTGCGAGTATGCGTGGATTATCGCGGCCTGAAAGAGTGAAGTTGCTATGATACTGGTCGTGTTCCACATATACTCTGAAGTAGTCTGCTAGAGAACGCTAGACTTGTGGACCGAAGATCGAGTATATTAACTGTTGCTAATTGGAGTCCTAGTTATAGGCGAATGGATACTGACATTGACCGTGGGTCGGCCTGATCTTCGAAGAAACGATGACTCGCTTTCATGCGTCATCGACTATGGTGAACACACTTCAACGTCCGAGGTGCAGAGGTACCATTCGGAAAAGGGATCATTTTGCTGCGGGGGCTCGATCAGGTCTTTTCGCCGTGAAAGGGATAGTGGTATGCTGTTCCCATCGCCGTCGCTGCTTTCGTGGCTCTTGTTGCGTTCGATATTTGCCATGTCAAATATAACGTGGTGTGGTTGTTGAGACTGTCGGAAGACGGCTTATCATCAATGACAAGCCGTTTAAAGTGATTCCCATTCAACGTGGGTAGCTCTTTGGAAGGACTCTGAATCACATAAACTTTGCCTATTGGTTATTTTGCCCCTACTTGTCTTTAGTCTTGTCAGTCTCATTTGTGACCATATGATCTTGCGACCTATGAAGACCTGAAGGGTATTTAGCGCATGTTCATCTCAAGAAACTGCGCTATGTAATACATGAGAAAGGACATAATAAGGTCAGGTCAGCTCTGTTTACTGGGGGCAACGGCAGTATTATAAGGGGAAAGCCTCTTACTGTTTGGTTATGAGGCGTAATCAGCATAGGCCTATATGCTGTTATTTTTAGGGCCACTGAAGTACTGTTGCGGCGCAGACAGCAGCCCTAGGTATATCAAATATTAGTTTAGATAGCCATTCAGGTGGCCATCCGGGTTCGCATGTACTTAGGGCTGATCTGGGTACTACTGGTGCTCTATTTGATTTTAAGCCGACAGCTGGCAAATGCAGTCAGCCTAAACCGGGATTCTTCATCGAAGCGAACCAAACGAAGTTGAATATTATCCTTGCTCGTCTACTTGAAGTACGGATAAACTAAACGGATACGATAAACTCTAGCCTAAGCAGGTTGTTAGTTGTCTGTGTATTACTATGGTACATGAGTAATTCTATCAATAGCTTAGTCCTAAGTATGTATCCTTAGATATTACCTGATTGCCGTCAGTTTATGGACTCGAATTCGAATCGCCTTCAATAGAGTTGAGCCTCATTAAAAAAAAAAGTAGGTATCATATGTTATGCTTGGTTGTCGACCTTGCACCTAAAGAATGAAAACAACGAGCTAAAACTGGTACACATGAAGCCCAGGGCGTTCAAATCTGCCAATTTTTAGGCATTGTTCAAGTTACGTTCAAAAATTAACCGTTCTTTCTCATCTGTATAAGATTTAGCTAGGTAGTGAGATGGATAATGAAGCGTGACTGGCATAGGAACTTGAGCGCTATAGGGGTTAATAAAAAGGCACCAACTACGCAACGAAGCAATGATGTTTTTGTTGTCTCTGTCCTGCAGGTAATTTATAAAATCATATGTATGAATGGATAGATGTTATAGCAAGAAAAAGATACACAATGGTACCAAAAGACACTGGACGAACGGGGAATTGAACCCCGGACCCCTCCCAGACGCTGTACTCTTCAGTGATGCGAAGGGAGTATCATACCCCTAGACCATTCGCCCGAGTCACCAAATGGACCTGAATGATTGTCATGTGATTCGATGGAGGCTGTGCGTTCTAACGATCGAAATATAATTACCTCGGCCGCTATATGTTGACACTGTACCAAAATCCGGTAGCCAGGTACTTAAGTACATCAGGCTTGATAAATACAGTGTGCCCCCTATCTAGTACTGTACTGCTACCAACGGTACCTCCACTACGCAAGAACCGCAAGAACCGCAAGAACCATACCTGCCTATCTGCCTACCTTAGGCACTTAGCTGCAGTCCAGATCTGATATTTCCCGCCCACTCGTGAACAATCTGTTAGATGATATGATTACGCCATAATCCCGTTATTGTGCAACTGGTTTGAGCAGAGCTGTTATGCGCCAATGCCACCTCGATGGCTCCTGATAGCGGTGCGCGCTTGACAGGCGTTTGGTGAGCTTCTCCCCGACCTCCTGAAGCCTTGCATATTTATAGCAAGAGCAAAAAAAAGAAGAAAAACAACGACAACGACAACGAGAAAAAAACATGTCCCGCTAATTGGAGAAAAGGTTCTTAGCTTCGTTTGCTTGGCTAGTATATTCCTCGCAAAGACACGCCTTGATCAGTACATGCTCACTTTCCGTAATCTAAGGGAGACTTGCTGACGAGGTATTCAGATCAGCCACGTTTATCGTCCTTCTTACTGCTTCTGATTTCTGGCTCGTCGGCTTTTGTCGTGAGTATATTTTCAAAATGGCTTCCAGGAGCACATGGAAGATTTGGTTTGTTTGTCCGTTCTTGGTCGTGTGAAGGCGAGGCAGTTAACGTGGTTATAGATTCCGACACTGTCCTGAAGGTATCATTGTCTTCCTTGCCTCCAAGACCACGGCGATTTTACGTACCTTGTATTATTATCCTCGTCATTTTCAGACTTGAGCTTTCTTACAGAGGTCTGCAAGATTTTCAATGCTCCGCTGCAGGCATCGAGGTCAGCATCCCCCCTATGAAGCAAGCAAGTAATGTAACTGACTCCGTCACACAGGCATTTCTGCCGTTGTTATTGGTGGCTCATAGGTTCTTCTCTCATCGTACACCACAGATAGAATCAGATGAGCCCGAAGACATGTGGGGAAGCGTGTTAGAGGACTTCAAGATTTGGCTCACGGGCTCACCTTTTATGCTGCTCCTCGGAACTATCCTCCTCAGCTATGGTGCGTTTTTGGCCAGCAACTTTACAATGCGATCTACATATTTCTGTTCGTCTTTGGCCGACCAGGGGTCATTCGTGGTATTTATCCAACTGATCGGCCTTTTTGTGGAAGCAACTATCATCATCCTCTCCTGGAGAGTGCTCTCCTGGGCACGAACAACTAAAAGTCGGCTGCGGACACTTGGTGGGATTTTGTTGATAGCATCGTTCGCGACATGCGCTCCTTTAATAGTGTCACAGTTCTCACAGCGTGGCGAAATTGTTCGCCACCAGTCTCTTAGAGGAGTCAATCCACTTTATATTTTCGACACTCTGAGCACCGGCATAGTTGTGGCTGTTCTCGTTATATCTACATCCCTTATGGTTTGTGATACATCGCCTCTTGAGCCCATTACCATCGCTACCGTTGCATATAGCCTATTTGCTAGCGTTGGCAATGTACTTCTCGTCGGTACATACCAGCAGACATCCGCAGCACAACCGCTACTCATCCTGGGGGCAACTTCACTCGGTTTTACCATTTTCACATACGTCAACAATATGCGTTCGATTCTTTTCATAAGACGCGTGTTATTCTTGATGCTACTGCTGAGTGTACTGGCTTCTTCAGCCATTTATGTGTCCCTGGCACAAAAACTGTTTATTCGTCATCCTGTTGATGAGCTTGTCTACAAGAACCGGATAGAAGCGGATCGATGGCTACGGCATGCAACAGTTAGCACAACTATGAAACTTGCAGTGAAGGAATACGGAGAAAGACACAATGGGCGTAAGCCTCCTCAGAATTTCGACAAATGGTTTGAGTTTGCTCGACAGAAGAAATCGGTCATTATCGACAAGTTCGATCAAATGGAAAAAGACATCTTGCCGTTCTGGGGTCAACGACCGCAAGATATTCGAAATGGTCTCGATTTCCTCAAAAGCCAGCCCAATATTGGTATCATCCGCATTGCCAATAACAAAGCGTCTCACAATAACCGAGCCGATCTTTCGCAGCAAGAAATACTCGACGGGATCGTTACCCTAATCTCTAACTTCGTAGAGCATCTTCCGGCGATGGAGATTGCCATTAATTTGCAGGAGCGACCGAGGGTTCTGGTTCCTTGGAATGAAATGCACCAGTTAAGAACGATAGCTAGCCAGCAGGGCATCCAGCTTATGTCCGGTCGAGTAGGTAAACGTGATGATTCCTATCTTTCTACAGTGGACAATTCCGGAACCAACGGGCGAGTGGGAAGAACGGGTCTAGCCCAGCCCTATATTGCAGCTCATCAGCTTCGACAGCTTGTAGCCCTCACATGCCCTCCCGGGTCACCAAGTCGCAGTGGTGGCAATTGGGATGTAAGAGACTTCTGCGCTTCATGTACGTCGCCTCACAGCAAGGAGCAGTTCCTTGAAGATTGGCATGGGGCACTCGACCCGTGTCATCAGCCAGATATCTTTAATCTGCACGATTTTCACACTACTCCCCATCAATTCGAACTCTATCAAGATCTATTGCCATTATTTAGCGGGTCGAAAACCGCCAGTTTCAGCGATCTCTTGATCCCTTTTCCACGGGGTGGGTTGAAACAAGACTATGAGAGGACAACCTTTAATCAAAAGCAAGATGTGGTCATATGGCAAGGCGATGTTAAAGACATCCCAACGGTCACTCACGGGTTCCTTCACGGTAGCCATAGACTGCGTTTGGTACATCTTGTCCAGAATGCCACGGCGGCGGACAATATCCCCATGCTATTAGGAATAGGAACAGGTCTAAATAGCAGGTTTCGATACGAACACGTGCCCACTACGGAGGGAAATAGCATCTTGCCTTTGCAGATCTCTATGACGGGCCCGTCGGAGGGCTGCAAAGACGCGAACTGTGAGCTTATACGGGACGAGTTCGGGTTAGAACAGCCAACCACCGAGGTGGATGGTCGGTACGTAATGTTACTCGATACCAGCGACGGGCCACCGCCAAACTTGCTGCAGGTTTTGCGATCAAACAGCGTACCTGTCCTTTCTTCCATATTCCAACAATGGTTCACAGAGCGGCTGATGCCCTGGGTCCATTTCATCCCCATTGACACACGATACCATGGTTTTCATAGCACGATGTCGTACTTTATTGGCTTGGATGGCCGCGGCACGCTCAACGGACGAAAACAGATCACACCAGATCGAAAAGGAGACGCGAAATGGATCGCCCAGCAAGGTCGGAAATGGGCCGAGAAGGCAATGAGGACAGAAGACATGGAAGTGTATCTGTTTAGGTTATTATTGGAATGGGGACGGGTAATTAATGATGACCGGGACAGCATGAACTTTGTACTAAAAGGATAGAAGAAATCTACCCATGTAAGACTATCGAATGAACATAACAATAGACTATTTTAATATTTTCAAATTACCGTAATGCTCCATGGAAATGAATTAGCAATGTCCCCCGCCTCGGTTTTTGTTTTCAACGAGCATCTAGAGCGAAACCTTGAAATCCCCGTTATATACATACGGTACCGACCAACCGGTATAAAGAGGCGTGACGTATGCCGTTGTAATTGGTACGTATCTGAACATACAGAACGAGGCAGTGGTCTTCCCCACCAATCCGAGCTACCTAAATGCATACGTAACGTCCACTCTCACCAGCTACTACGGACCTAACCTACCACAGCCAACCTCCCGTCGCTCCCGTGAGCCAAACAGACTGAACACGCTCTATTACCCAGTCTCACCTATGGACTAACCAATCGCCTATGCGGGCCTCGGTGATACACGATAACATTACAAGTATCTTTCTACGAAGATACACCGACCGATACACCGATACGGTGCGATACGGTGGACTACGGTGGATGGTTGCGTGACGGACAAATCATTGCCTACTCCATACACAACGCATACATCACACGTACTACATCACACATACTACATCATACATCTACAACATAATACAACATAGCACAACATTGTCGGAGCAGGCAGCGCCCAGTCTTGACCGACCCCGCCCGCACCATGGCCGTCATCGACCAGGACAACTTCTCCAACATCTCGTGGCAAATCGAGACCAACAACGGCGTCGAGGCTGCCGAGTCGAGTGCTTCCATGCCGAACATCGAAGCTGAGCCGCCGAGCAGCGAGGACCAGCACCATGGCCAAGATCTGCAGCGCCAGGATCCCGGCCTGTCCGGCGACATACTGGAGTGCACAGTCTCGGAGCCGCGCAAGGAGAGCGACGGCACCAAGGATGCCTTTGTGTCATATCTGATCACTACAAACGTGAGTGTGGGAGTTGAGCCGGGCAAGGGACCTGTCACATCGTGTCGTGCCGTGCCGTGTCGTGTCGTCCATCTCTTGTCGCTGACCACTGACCACTGACCGCTGACCTGTCATCGATATAGTCAACCTTCCCTTCCTTCCAGAAACCAACCTTTACCTCCCGCCGACGCTTTACCGACTTCCTGTTCCTCTCCAAGACCCTGTCCAAAGACTATCCGGCATGTGCCGTCCCTCCGCTACCCGATAAACAGCGCATGGAGTATGTTCGAGGAGACCGGTTTGGTCCAGACTTCACAAACCGCCGAGCCTATTCGCTCCAGCGTTTCCTATCACGTATAACCCTTCATCCAATTCTGCGGCGCGCCCCCATTCTACACACCTTCCTCGAGTCTCCTGACTGGAATGCTACGATGCGGTCTCGCGCTGGTAGGACAAGCGTTACCTCCGATCAAGGGAGTGGTGGTGTATTCGATAACTTTGCCGATACCTTTATCAACGCTTTTACAAAGGTCCATAAGCACGACAAGCGATTTATTGAGGTGCGGGAGAAGAGTGA